CTCCTGTTACATAATCACACCACAGATCCTGCGATTGTAGCTCTACTTCAAACAGTGCTAAATTCATCTTCTCTCTTACATACATTCCCCACAAAAATTCTGGCTGACTACGAAATGACGAATATCTGGAAGACGGCATCTTCTTCCCTCCACCACTTTCGATTTCTTTTACGTTCGAGTTCTCGCGCTGCTGACAAGACCAGGGAAAAAGAAAGAGAGAGAAAACGTGGGAAGAGAGGACTAGAACGGTGGTTGAAGTGTCGACCCTGGATTAGTTTTTGCGAGGGTGGCCTCGATAGAGCGTTCCTGACGAGGGTTGGCGCGCTCGCTTCCACCAAGGGATAAGCGTAGAGGGCAAAGCGCGCAAAAGGGGCTGGCGAAGGTTTCGGCGTGTTGGTAGAGAGGCTGTTTGTCGGCGGATGTCTGGGTTGGGGTAGGACGTGCCCAGAAGGTCGTCCGAAGGACGAGGATGGGGGTAGGGGTAGGTCAGCACCCACCTACGCATTTCGAATCGATACTCCTTCGATTTACCGTTTAACCCCAGGCAAACTACTACGTCTTTCGAGCGTAACCGCGCCTCATGGGGGGGGAAAAAGAAAAAAGAAAATCGTCATACTCACTTCGTCGTCCTTCGTGGCACACTTCGTTCACAATCCGTTTGAAACTTGGAACCTGAAACTTGGTCCGTCCATTGTCGTTCGATGGAACTCCCGTGAAGCGTCTTACGCTTGTGCGGGGATGGCGCGTCCTTGGAGAAAATAAGCGCCGAAAAGGGCGGGCGTTTTGGAGGGAAACGAAGGACAAAAGGTGAATCGAACGATGCAGCGCATAATAATTTGCTTAGCTCGACATTGATTAGTTCCATCGACAGGATTGACTCGAGAGAACTTTTGTTATTAACTTGAAATTAATCGAGGGAGTTGTTACGGTATAAAGTTATCATACTTGAAGTAGAAGAATTAATTCGAACCAAAAGTAACTGACTTTGTAATCAGTCAAAGTCGAATAACCTTCCCAAACGAACTTTTTTTTAGCATTTTTTAAATATGAAATCTATGAGATCCACAACGCTGGAAGAAGTATTTTTGTATTAATGTAATGATTAATTGAGTTCGAATAGTAATAGTAATGTTTGTCGAATGTCTACGGAAATTTGAAACTATAAAAATAATGTGTGAAACTCGATAGAAAATAGCTTGATTGGAAATTATTAACAATAATCAGTCCACGCAGTTGAAAGAAGTTTTATAAACAATAACTAATTTGTAGAAACGTTCCGTCAAAATCTAGATCGGCCTTGTTTCCCATTTCGGGAAAATATATTAAGGAACATTCTTTTTATAGACAGATTTTATTCTTTTTAAGAGCCATGCATATTTGCGAGCACGTTCGGCCGTGAAACTAACTTCGTTTATGACTTATGCACGATGCTACCCATTTCTGGCACGTTTCTCGAATTTTTTTCGAAAATTCTAATCGTTCGTAAGGCTACGATTGTAAAAGCGTCACGCGTTCGTAAAAACGTCAGCCACCTGTCCGCTCGCGAAATAACAGGCTGTTTTGCATCGACCTGTACAGATTTCTTTTATCACTCGACTTTTATTTCTTCTCGTTGCTTTGTTTCTATTTGATTCTTTGTAGAATTAGAATTGGAAAAAAAATCTGTTATCTTGTTAAAGTATTTGTGGTTAATAACGAATTAACCATATTAATTTAATAAGAAATTAAAGCGAGATTCACATCAGTGATCAATGCGAGGAGTAAGACAAAATTTACAATACACAAGCTTTCAAGTACATATCTTGCGAAAAATTTGTAAAATTACAAGTTGATCGTTTTGACTAGTTTGATCGTTGCGAAGAATGCCAACAAAATTTTTGTTTCTTCTTGTCACGTTACGTTACACGTGTGTAGAAATTTTTTTCCTCGTTGCTTCAGTGCTGCAACGAAAGGACGACAAAGATTTCTCAATGCAACGTGCGTATTTGCGTGTGTTCAATTTTCGACTGATGCCGCCTCGGTCGCGCAAACAGAAGCCATCGGCAAACAGGTTATCGATTTAATCGCGCGTGGCTCGAAAGCGTTGTAACGTTCAGGCGCCATAAAATGCACGAAGAATTTCGATTGCGTAATTTCGCGGCTACCGATGGATACTTTTCGATCGTGCTTACTCATAATGTGCATTCGATACCATTCTCGAAATCTCGAACCATTCCTCTCGTCGGTAAAACATAACCGTGGCAATCTTTCAATGTGACGATACGTAATGACAGCAGATGGATAGATAATATAATTGTGTAATTATGACAATTTCTTAGCAAACCAGATCAGCAAGAAAACGCGTATACTCATAATTATGGCAATTAAGTCGGTATAGAAATATCTAATGACAGATAGATCGAATAAATGACGCATATATAGCTACGACGATTTTTTTACAGAAAATAGGTCGCGATAAAAAAGTATAAAGCGATAGTACGCACTTCCTTGTTATAAAAGAAGGCGAATAATTCTTAACGCGAGAGAGATCGAAGGAATGAAAATAAAAATAAAATGCGTGAAAGACCTGTTTCGTTTACTTGGTCGAGGTGTATGGAAGTTTAAACGAGCGGGGAAAAAAGGATACTCGCGCGAGAGGGAAAAGAGCAATCGATGGTTAATCCCTTGGAGGCGTGAAAGAGAGAGAGAGAGAGAGAGAGAGAGAGAGAGAGAGCAAGCAACTTTCCAGGGGAGCCCTTGCTTTGACGATATCGAACGATCGATCGATCGGTTAGATGTACCGTAACGCTTTCCTTTTCCGTGACAAATTGACGAGGAAAACTCGGCGGCCTGGCGAGTTGGCCGAGAATAGGAACGAGATCTCAAATAGGATATCGGAGATCAGCCTCGGGCGTTCGATTTGTACACCGATTTGAGATGGCCGATGTGCCGGCTGCACGCCTTCGGTAAATTGAAATCAAACGTATCTTAACGCCGCAGAACCAAGAAAGAAAAAGAGAAAAAGAAAAAAAAGAAACAAGGGAAGGAATTCTTTGAAAAACTAAAACACGAAAAAAAAAAAAAGAAAACAGACGACGGTTTCGTGACCCATATATCCGCTGGAACCTGTTCCCCGGTTTCCGAGGTGAACCTTGCGACATCCTTTATTATTCCAGTACACAATTGCACCGTCATTAAAAGACGGCCGCGCTGAGTCGTCCCTTTTCCACGTGACAGCGGACGTAGAAAAGAGGATCAACTGGACGGAAGGGACGGGTGGGTCGTCGAGGATAAGGAATCACGGGTCCTCGAGACACGCTCTCAGAAGAGGTAGCACGCACACAACTACGTTCGAAGGGGCGAAGAGGGCCCCGGTGAATCGGGCATCGGTGAAAAGTCATGTGTCGTCGCGCGTGCATAGGAACGCACGCACACGGTGCATTTGGCCGTCGGAGGAATACGCACGTGCGTGTTGGTGATGACCATTGGCATTCTCTCGTGCGCAGGTAGATGCGAAGAACGCGCGCGCGCGCGCGCGCGCCAGTGTGGTGGCTGAAGGACGGAGGGGGAGGAAAGTTGCATCGAGTAAGCGTGGAGCAACGGTGATGGCAGCGCGCGAGCGAGAGCGCGAGAGAGGGGGCACGGGAGTAAGGTAGGGGGCACCAAGAGTAGGAAAATTCAGGTCGCGCCTTGACATACTTGTACTTACCACGTGCATCGGCCGAGCGGCGCATGCGCAGACCGCGCCGTCTTCGCTGCACCTCACTGTGCAGTTGCACGCGCAACGCGCGCGCCTCTCTCCTTGCATTGCATCCCGCCAAAACCCAGTCCGACAGACCGAAGGCTTTTTTCCAACTTTCCATCGATCTTCTCTGAAAAGTGCTGAAAGATCGATCGATCGATCGATCGATC